CCCCCCCCCCCCAACTACCCTCTACTATCCTTAAACACCCACTACTAAGGACGATACGGGCTCTATGAAAGGGTACTTTGGGGGGGTGCTGGTAAGCCCTAAATCCCCAAACCCTACGAAAAAAACGCGCCCCGAAGCACAGGAAGCCTCGGAGGATATGGCACCCTCTCCAGGGGCCCTCGGCACCTCCGGCTTTCAAACGTTTTGGTTTAGGGTTTAGGGTTTTGCGGGTTTGGGGTTAGGGTTTAGGTTTAAAACCCCTTCATGGGTTATCTGAGTGCTTTTCGGATTTTGGATGCATAGGGTGTGGGTTAAAGGGCTTTGGGTTTATCTCGTGGTGCTTTGTTTCTTGTTGCGCTTGTATGAGTGTTTTTTGTCGATGGCGATTCGCTTTAGGGTTCCAGTACTGCTCACTTTTAAAGGTCCCACAGAGGACGTGCGAGGCTAACCAAGAGACTATAACTAGGGCTCAGGGTTTGTTGTGGGTACAGATTGACCACGAGCTTAAGTTTCAGAGTTCAAGGATTTTCGGTTTTAGGATTAAGGGTCTTTAGACTTTTCGGTTTTAGGCTTTAGGCTTTCTGCCCTACCCGTAGCTGGCATCTAGGCTCTTGGATATAGATCATGATGCATGTGTCTAGATCTGAACAACACTCAGGCTTGTGGCTTGTCCTACGAACCTACAAGCTCTGTACTTTTTTTGAAACCTATGAACCTACTCAGTAGCACAAGTAGTCCTTATATGCGCGGGTTTTTGTAGCCAAAAAGGCCCTGCAGTGCTACAATAGGGAGTGCTTGCACCCTTAGGGCTATACCTCGACTGCCGCTGCAGCTTGTTCTTGGCTGTCTGAGTGCAGAGGTGTGGCGCGAGCCCTACACAGCCAACACCCCTGGACCCCTAGCTGACCAAAGGCGAGGCACACATCCAAGCCCAGCAGGCACTCGCGGCATTACAGCCTCCCGATGTGGGGCACTCAGCCAACAGCCCCTAAGGCTCCATGTGCCCATATAGTATATACTTAGGCCTTAGAGTCGCTATATAGGGACTACTTCGAGGCCTAAGTATATACTCTATGGGCACATGGAGCCTTAGAGAGCAGGAACCAATCCCAGGCAAAACCTCAGGGAGCGGCGCCCCGACGCCGCCAAACCCGCACGAGACAGCTGCGGACCTGTTGGTCATAGCTGCGGCTGATGGACAAAATCCTGCATGACCCAAATATAGTATTAGTACCATAATTCCTATAGTTTAGGTATATTGGGTCATGCAGGATTTTGTCTATCAAGAGTATGTCCACCATCGAGGCGCTCACAACGATGGGGGGGACACACCACAGGCCAACGACATCGTACACGACTTGTACCAGATCCAACAGATCCGAACCCCAGGCGCTGTACCCTAAACCCTAAACCCCTGCATGCTCGCTGACATCGCCGAGTCGACAAGATCACTTGGGATCAGCTGGTCCCGAACATGAACACGAACGTCTTGTCCTATAGAAGAGTGAGTAATTACTAAAACTTGTTCGGTTTAGGATTCCTATTGCAAGTATACTCTAAACTTCACCTGACATTTCTTCCATTCATTGAGGCCTCATTGCAATAGCATCGGCACAAGGCGGGCCACTTCACATGACCAGCTTCTCTTACATCTGATCGTGTTCTGGACATACCGTTCCCCCCCAACAGCCGGTTGGCGGTTTAAACGACCTCGAGAACATACGTATCAAGGCCTTTGTATACCGGATTCGTCTTTGACCCCGTGGGCACTCGGTGATCTGTAAGGAGCCGGGTCTCAGTCGTATAAACACCACTCCCTAGAGTATCCAGTGTATTTCTTTTTTTGGTTTAACCAAATCTAGTTTTCAGGATCCTACAAGGTAATCCCAAAAAGGAACTACAATGGAGACTCTAGCTTGAAACCAGTTTACAACCCACGCCAACCCACGCCCCTTGTTCGCAAGTTTGCGTGCTGCCAAAGAAATAGTGTCGCCATTGGACAACGGACTCAACGGCGAAAAGGACCGAGCACCCCCTGCCCCATGAATCCTAAACAATAAACTCCCTGTAATGCTCCGGACGTGTTGTTTTGATACGGAGGCCGAAGCTGACTGCTGAGTGATTGAGTGATTATCGTCCTTTTCTAATGAAACAACATATTGAGACACCCGCAGAACCCTACTCGCTTAACGCTGCAAGTTGACATCTGGTGCCACCAATGGGGGGTTTTAGGGTTTTAGGCTTGGGGTTTGGGTTGTTTTGCAGTTGTTTGCTTGTTGGCGTTGGGGTTGTCATTGGGGGACTTGGCGTGCCAGAAGTTCAGGTGTTTAAGGGTTACTATCGGTGCCAATATCAATCTCATTTTGGGGGGCTCCTTATTACAATTTTAGTATACCGCAAAACCCTATTCCAACTCTTATGGGCCCGTTTTATTAGGCGGCAGCTGAGCAGGTTATGGGGCCCGGGGAACTCGGCGACTTGATAAGCAAAGCCGGATGAAGGTCTGTGGTTTAGGGTTTAGGGTTTGGGGGTTAGGGGCTAGGATTTAGGATGTAGAGCCCATCGGTTTGGGGTGACGGCGTTGGCTTCCCATTGAAGGTTCAGGCCCTCAAACCCGCTCCGAAAGCCTGTTGTCCAAGCTGCAACCCTTTCGCCTGCAACCCGACAGAAATCCACACACGATAGACCCTTGAGTTGATATTGCTACCTTCATTGTCATTCAGAAATACTATCTCATTATCGTGATCATGCTTGTGATGATGGTTAGCACTGCGAGTATGTATGATTATGCTTACTGCCCTTGGCCCTCATTATCATTATAATGAAAATTAATACTATTGTTCTTTGTTTGTTGTCTTACCTTTTCTCGATGAGCCCTAAACCCTAAACCCTCTAGAGATACCCCGAAAAGCTGCAGCTGCCGACGCCAGGAGAAGTTTGAGCTTTCGGCTGATGGCGTGCCCACTATGACAAAGGTGCACTCCCCTGCTTTACGTTTAAGGTTCATGTAGGGTTTAGGGTTTAGGGTTTAGGGGTTTAGGGTTTTGGGTTTAGGGTTTAGGGTTCATGTAGGGTTGGGGTTGTTTACAAGGGGGTGTTCCTCATCATGGTTTCATTATCGTAACAGCCTCCGGCTTTTGGGGTTCATGGAACCCTAAAGCCCCAAACCGAAAGCGTACACCCCAAACCGAGTTTGTGGTTTGAGTTGTAGGCATCTTGAGGCTTCGGTGGGGTCGGACCTGGGTTAGGTGTGTTCCCTTGACCCTAAGGGTCCATGTGCCCAAATGAACCACTTTAAGGCCCAAGTATATACTACATGAGTACATGGACTACTGGGGTGAGTGTTTTCAGGAGAGGATTTCGGGGAACATGAACTCATTAATTGTGTGCTCGGTAATTAATATCGGAGCCTAAATAATTACCAATACTAGTTTGTGGGGGCTCGTTACTAAAATTAAGGTATAATAATATAATATACCCCACAACCCGGCTAAATTAAGGCCCCTTTATTAGTTGTCGCCTTCTGTGTTTCATTCGAGTTGGAGATTTCTGGGGCGTTGCACTTTCCTTCTTTTGGAGGGTCATTGGTTCTTGCCGTGTCTTCCGGGTAGGTCCCGAAGCCGTATAGACCCTAAGCCCCAAAGGTCAAATTCAGCAAGTCACCAATTCGGTGGTTTGGGAGTCTTTGGAGAATGATGGGTGGCTTCACTAACCCTAGAAGCCCTAAATAGCCCTGGTTGCTTAGTATATATGGGGTTATCATTGGATGTGATATTCGGGAGGCTTCTGCCTATAGGCTTTGCCGTTCTGCATAAGGAGCCATGAGCAGGGTCTGGGTAAAATCTCCATATAGATACGTAACCTTGAAGCTACGATCCTAAACCCAAGTACCTGATTTTTGTATCGTTTGGACCGCCTGCCCTTCTTGTGGTTCAGGGTTTTGGGTTTTGGGTTTTGGGTTTTGGGTTTAGGGTATAAGATGCCTCAGCTTTGGCATTGTTGTCTTGCGAGGCAACAAAGAGCCAACACACGAACAAGCTGAAGCAGAAGCAGGACCTGACGGCATAGTGCTGCCAGGGGTTCCTTGAGGGTTCTTTTGGAGTGTTTCTAGGGGTTCTATAGGGTTAAGTTCTAGTGCTTCTGGGGGTTCTAGAGGGTTAAGTTATAGTGCTACCAGGGGTTCTTTGAGGGTTCCTGTAGGAGTTGAGGTTAATTCAAGGGTTTCTGTCTTGCACAGAGAATCAGCTTTTGGGGGCCCTCTATTGAGACTGAACACATGGTTCCCTCATCTTCGGGGCTTTCGGGTTTAAGTTCGGTTTTTAGGGCTTTAGGGTTGAGGGTTTAGTTTATGCGAGCGTGGTACAAGCCTGAACCGAAGCTGTTTGGGGTCCCGGGCTGGCTTGGCAGCTGCAGCCTAGGGCTTTAGTGTTAGGACTCCTTGGTGCTCCAGATGGGGTCGGCGCACGGAGTCCAGCAAAATGGGGAATTTCAGAAAGACTAGTAACCACATGTAAATGTGTGGACGCTGAATGCTCGGATCTCTAGCATAGTGATACCCCACGACAAGTTACCCAAAACCCTTAACTGTGTTGCAGAAACCCCATTGGGGGCAGCTTTGCCAGGAAAGCACAGCTGCGATGATGTCACAACGAGAAGGCCGGGCTACATCCAAGGAACTCATATAGGGGCCTAAATTAGGTTTAGGGTCTAGGGTCTAGGGGTTTAGGGGTTTTTGGGTTTAGGGTATAGGGGCCTAAATCATTACCAACACTATTGTGGGGCTTCCTGCTTATAGCTATATACTATGAAGGAGCCCAAAACCCTCTTCTAATTATTAAAGCCCCTACGTCAGGTTTAGGGTTGAGGGTTCGGAGAGGGTTCGCTTCAGGGTTCTCAAGTGGGGTTCGGTGAGGTGTTTCACGTTCGATAGGGTTTAGCCTGCCTTTAGAGTTGATTGTACCTATAGTGTCCATTGTAGTTCCTACTGTTGTTTTAACCAGTTCGACATTAAGGATCCTATAAGGGAGCCCCAAAAGGGAACTACAATGGATACTATTGGTAGGGCTTAGGGTTGTGAGAGTGGGGGAGACAGAGTGAGACTAAGACTGTTTTGCTTGGCTCATAACCCTAAACCCTTAAGCCCTAAACCCTAAACCCCTAACCCCTAACTCCTAAACCCCTAAACTCCTAAACCCCTAAACTCCTAAACCCCTAAACCCTAAGCCATAACCCCTCAGGTTTTCGGCTCTAGTCTCTAGTCAGTTGTATACATTTTGAGAACGGGGCTTCTTGGAAAGGCCGCTCCTCAACATCTATAAAGAAAACTTCTAGAGCCAAAGAGCTAAGGCACTAACCCCTAACTTTGAGATGGAAAATTTTAACCTCTACCTATAGTCGCCATTGCAGTTCCTTTTTTTATAACCAACTCTATATTAAGGGTCGTACGGTTGATGGACAAAATCCTGCATGACCCAAATATAGTATTAGTACCATAATTCCTATAGTTTAGGTGTATAGGGTCATGCAGGATTTTGTCCATCAACAGTATCAAAGGTAACCCCCAAATGGAACTACAATGGAGACTATAGGTAAGACTGCTTTAAAACCTTGAGCGATCAACCGCTTCAACAACCTTGAGAGAGCCCTAAACCCTAAACCCAAAAACATAAACCCTCAACCCTGAACCCCTAAGCCCTAAACCCTAAACCCCGAAACCCCAAACCCTAAACCCCAAACCCCTAAACCCCTAAGCGCTAAACCGAATGCGAAGATCCCTGTTCCAGGCCTCCGCTTGCTCGACGACTGGAGCGAAAGCTTCGTGGTATCACAGGAACCCGACGGGGCTATTCTAATTATTAAGGCCCCTAAAACCCTAAACCCTAAACCCTCTTTAAGGAACCCTTTAAAGGAACCCGACGGGGCTTGAATTGCCCTGTAGGGGCTCCTAGGGTTTCGGGTTTAGGGTTTAGGGTTTAGTAGTTTAGGGGTTTAGGGTTTTAGGGTTTAGGGTTTAGGGTTTAGGGTTTAGTAGCTTTGGGGTTTAGGGTTTAGGGTTTAGGGTTTAGGTTTAGCGGTTTAGGGTGTTATACTTTTCTGAGGGACATGTCTTCCTAAACCCTAACCTTAAACCCGTCAGCCAACCTTAAAGCCTAAACCGCTCACTGAGGCTACTACAGGGGCCCAAATAATTACCTATACTATTTTTTGTTTTTTTTTTGGGGGGTCCTTGTTATAGCATATTACAAAAGATCCCAAAACCCTATTCCAGTTATTAAGGCCCCTAAATTGCTGGAGTGGAGGTCTGACAGCCCGCAGGCCCATATTTGGTTCTTAGGTGTCGACCCAGGGCTAGCTTTCGAGGATTGCGGACTCCCAAAGAGACATACCTGCGGTTGATGATGTAAACCCTGCATTACCAATAATAAAGAACATACGATAATTCCCATAGTCGGGTCATGAAGGATTTATACCATCAACTCTAGGAGCCTAGAGTGAACTGGGTGCTACTCGGTAGATTTGGCAAAAAATGCAGTGGTTTCACCCGTGAGGAGTCTGAAAACCAGAAACCTTTAGCATCAAAATATCCCAAAAGCCTTATATAATAGAGTCTTTGGGCCCAAAAGCCTTAACATATGAGTCCTTCGAGGGTAACGGAAAGTATCCCACCTCAAAGTTCACCCTCTGAAAAGTCTCAAGCTGCAATGGTCTCACTTGTAAGGAATCAGTTCTGTGCTGATGTGAACACGAACTGTGCCATCGTATCTAAGGAGGGATTCTGCAAGATTACTTGCAGCTTGCTTGCTGAGTCAGCACATCATGTGATCCCTAAACCCCAAAACCCTAAACCCTCAACTCGAGACACCAGCCATACCCCTTTCGAGGAGGAAGCGATCGTGATCTACAACAATCTTTTCAGGCTCAAGGATCGCCTGACACTTGCTGTGGCGTTGAAAGTTCGGCGTTTAATATAGAAGCCCAAAGAATTACCAATACTATTGTTAGGGTTCCGTATTATAAATATACTAGAAAGGGCCCCTAAACCCTATTCTAATTATTAAGGCCCCTAAACCATAGTAGCCCTTATAGAAGTCTTTAAGGAACCCTTTAAAGGAACCCTATGAACCCTGTTCTAATCACCAAGGCCCCTACATTAGGGGACATTTAACAGCCAGCCAAACCCCGGAACTGGTACTAACCCAAGCCACTGGACCCTTTGGGTCTCTGGCCAACTGAACATATAACATGAGTAGTTATCTAAGTTAGGGTTTAGGGTTTAGGGTTTAGGGTGTAGTAGTTATTTAAGTTAGGGTTTAGGGTTTAGGGTTTAGGGTGTATGAGTAGTTATCCAAACTATCAGGTCCCTTTTGGAGGTCTTTGTCTTTTTGATAAAGGTGGCGTACGATATTGGGAATCCGAAAGGACAAAAACTTAGAGAACAACCCATATATATATATAACTAGAAGAGTCAAGGTGTTGGGCTCATGACTTGAGTTTGTGCCATGCTCACCTAAGCCCCAGAGCGAATGCCCTAGACGGCAGAGTTCCTTTCTGGCCGCTGCCCACCGCATGTTGTCGCAGGCACGCCGACTAGATGTGCGGAACCCGCAGTCGATAATAGAAGGGCCTGAATAATTAATTGGGTTTAGGGGTTTTTATGTTCTACTTAAAACACTCTATTCTAATTATTATGGCCCCTACATTACTTTGTATCCTTCGTGGCTACACGGTGCGATAAGCTTACCATCATTCTCATGGCGTCGGGTGAAGTCGCATCAGATGGAAAACAAGCAGGAAGGCTTTCCCTACAGGTCCATGTGCCTACGAAGTATATACCGAGTTCCTATACTGTTAGGTACTTTAGGGCCAAGGTGAACAATGGGTGTTTGGACCCTCAATTTTTTCCCAAGGGGTGCATGTACCCAAATAGTATAGCCTATGGTATATACTTTGGCCTACGGTTGATGATATAAATCCTGCATTACCCATAGTAAGGAATATACCATAATTATCATAATTTAGGGTCCTTAAGGTAATGCAGGATGTATGTATCATCAACAGTAGTATAGCTACTTTGGGGCAAAAAATTCTGCTCGATGGGTACATGGGCCCTCAGGGTTTGTTTCATGTCAATCGGAGGCCTCGTTCATTCTTTCACCTTTTCGCAACCTGTACTTGCAGATTCATGGGTCTTCAACAGTGTGCGGTTTAGGGTTTAGAGTTTAGGGTTTAGGGGGGTATAAGTAGGATAACTATACTTGTAACCCATGTTTGGGGACTTATAACCCTACTAATACCGACACTGGAATCTCCAAGTGAAGATCGTCTCGGGTCATGCTGCAAGCCCGCTGCGGCTCTTTGCTTCTGTATCGTATACGCCAGGAGACACCCTAAGACCCGTTTGCTACATTTCAATAGATTTCCAAGTGAGGGTCCCTTCTTAACACCCAGAAATAGTGCCGTCGGAAAAGGACCTTGTAACGGACCCAAATTTAGAGAACCACCCGTTTCATAAACCGTATAAAATGCCCGAAACCGCAACCCTGAAGCTGCCTGATCCTTTGGATCCTGCCTTTCTGGCTGCGCATCGTGGATCCCTATCTCCTGAAACGCCAAGTTTCTGAACAGCTTCAATAAACCCGTCAACCAGGGGTTATAGGCTTTAGGGTTCAGGGTTTGATGTTCGAGGCTTGAAAGGATTCGGGTTCCGAGGTTTTGGGATAGAGGGTTTCCTCAACCTGAGCATTCCTTAAGTACTGAATTCCAAATGGCCAAGGAAGAAATCATCCGGGACGCCGGCGGGCACAAGCATGCAATCCGTGAGCAATGCCTTCCACATGTCTCCAGATTTAATTTGCTGCAGATCACAATCCGATAAGCCTTGGTTCGCATATCCTCAACTCTGTGACCCTTAAAGAGCCTGGTGCCCATTCTCAACCGCGAACCCTGAAATCTTATCAAAGCTCTATGAAGGCGATATGAAGGTTTAGGATTTGGCTTAATGGTTTGGGGACCCTAAACCCTAAACAGGGTTGTTTTAAGAGTCGTAAGTTTGAGGGTCCATGGTTCAGGACTGAGGATTTAGCGGTTAGGGTTTAGGGTGGTTTAGGACATAGGAAACCCAGAGCGTGCATGTATACTACCATGATGGCATCGGGTGCCGAAGGACCAGCCCTGTTATGGTTTTCGTGGCCTAATTCCATAATGGTATAGATGGACTCTCTTCGGAAGGGGTCATGGATCCTGGTTTTCAGCCCTGCACCCTCAAGTGCTGAGACTGCGACCCTCTAGTCTAAAGGGTGAATTTGTCTTAACTGCCTGAGGGCCCTATATTATGATTGCAGTAACTTGGTATACTGTAACACAAATCCGCATTAAGGAGACGGTTTTCAAATCGAGGGCGCCCACATTAAACCTCAAGCCTCACTTAGACCCCTAAAGCCCAGATCCAATATTCCAGGATTGGGTACCCTAAACCCTAAACCCTAAACCCTAAACCCTAAACCCTAAACCCTAAACCCTAAAGCCCAGATCCAATATTCCAGGATCGGGTTGAGGGCGCAGCTTGAAATGTAGAGCCCAATCGTCACAGCGAGTGAAACAGCACAACATAGACACCTTCAGGTAGGCCGTGCTAGTTCCTAAGGGCCGTTCATCAAAGCTAAACCCTAAACCCTAAACCCTAAATCTTAAATTCTAAACTCTAAACTCTAAACCCTAAATCCTAAACTCTAAACCCTAAACCCTAAACCCTAAACCCCAATTCAGCCCAAGTGGATCCTTCATCGGCACAAAAAGCCTGAACGCCACCATTAAATCCTCAACCTAAACCCTATACCCGTATAGGGCTCTATATAGCCTAGACCCCTTCATGGAGCCCTGTAAGGAAGCCTAAGCCCTCAACTAACCCTAAACTCCTGAACCCCTGAACCCCTAAACTTTAAACCCTAAACCCCTGAACCCTAAACCCTAAGCCCTGAACCTCAAGCCCTAAGGTGGCTCGGGAAGTGGCACTACTTCTGGCAGATTTTCACCCTCGGCCTCGTCTTCGTGGCTTTCTGGGCTGCAGCTTAGGTTTAGGGCTTAGGGTTTAGGGTTATGGGTTAAGGGTTTAGGGTTTAGCGGTTATAAGGGTTAAGGGCTCGGCCTCGTCTTCGTGGCTTTCTG